CCAAAAAAGCTAACGTCAACCTAAGTCTGCATGAGTCTAGAACAAAAGAGATCATAGCACACTGTGCTCTGTGTCAGTCACACAGCACAAAGGACACTCTGTTTGGTTTCAGTAAGATCATATCTTCTGAAAGGCATGAACAATCAAAAGGCAGCGAGGATGGTGAGCACCCTAGAAATTACGTCAAATTTAAAGAAACCAAGAGTGCTTAGTATAGAGAAGATTCAAAGAAGACATGAGTCCCTTCCTCAGATATTCTAAATACCGCTGTGTAGACTTATTCTGAGCATCAGCATAATGTAATGAAAGAATACAATCTGCCCAGCACCACCACTTACTGTCTTCTTGTGACCCAGTTACTACTTCTGTAATTGTTGAAAGACCAAGAAGGATAATGCATGGTCAAAATCTTAACAGAGTGTGTGTGTATGATGGGCACATAATGTTAACCCTCCTTCCCTGAGGCAGAAGTGAGACCAAGATGGCACATCAAGATGGGACCGTGACTCAGGAACGTAAGAGAGAACAAGGAAGTGTATTACAATCTCTAAAACTGAAAGCTGTTCTGCAGTTCATTGAGCTATTTGTCATGGATTATTCCAACAGAAGCTAGATGACCAACCAGCAAGAAAGCAGAAGAAAGGGGTTCTTACTGCTGGTAGGAAGAGAGACTAGAGAATCCCTAAAGTCTCTCCCACTCCAAGATTCAGTAAATTCAGATCAATAAGAAAATGTGACTTTGTAAATCACTTTAAAACCCATGATGTCTCTGAGGCCAGTGAATATGAGCAATACGTTATTCCAAGAAACAGAAGGCCAGACTTGACAGTTTATTTGCTCCAGAGTACAAGGAACAGAATCCAGCTATTCACTTAAGTGAGTCCTTGGACATAGCACATTGAATCAGTTGTCCTTTATGCTGCAAAGATAACTGGGAAACAGAGACTCAGGCAGGCACTGGTAGAAACAGGGTCACATTATCTAATTGGTGAAAAAGGTTTAAATAATAAAAGTAGTAATAAGTCAAAAGCTGCAACAAATAGAATTATAACACCCCAAACTGCAAAGAAACATGCCTGTAGGTCCCTTAGATGCCTCCTCACTGTCTATTGTTGCTTAATATCATCTCTTTAAAAAACAAAACAAGGGGCGCCTGGGTGACGCAGTCGGTTAAGCGTCCGACTTCAGCCAGGTCACCATCTCGCGGTCCGGGAGTTCGAGCCCCGCGTCGGGCTCTGGGCTGATGGCTCGGAGCCTGGAGCCTGTTTCCGATTCTGTGTCTCCCTCTCTCTGCCCCTCCCCCGTTCATGCTCTGTCTCTCTCTGTCCCAAAAATAAATAAACGTTGAAACAAAAAAATTAAAACAAAACAAAACAAACTTCCATTACTTCTTTAAGATAATCATTTATCTTAATTTTGTATAGATGGATGAGAGTTGTCCTGCCTCTTCACTGTAGAGAAGTTGAACACTGCATATCAGAAAAGTCAGGTAAGAGTAAAATAACTACCACACTCAGTATAGTATTTGTGTGTCTGAACTTAATACAAAAAACAAAAAAGAAAAAAAATGAGCTAGCCATGTAAAAATGAAAAATAAAAGGAAAAAAACCCCACAATTCCACCTAGGTGGTATAATTTAAGGGATGCTTGGGAGATGCCACCCCTCTTCCCTCGGATGATGTGATGATGTCTATAGCACCAACAGTTGCTCATTTTATTAATTTGATACACTTTTTTCCCTGGGATGAGTGACATTTTAGACACATCTACTCTGAAGATCCTCTAACGTGGTGAGGAAATAGCAAAATAGGAGCTAGAAAGCAAAGACTCGTGTCCTGACCCTGTCACTTACTGCTTTGGAATTTCCGGCATTTGATCTCTGATTCTTTATCTCCTCATACATGAAATGGAAGCAATAACCCTTGCTATGGCTCCCCTATAGAGTAATTAAGAAAGCCCTCCAAAAAACCCATAAGGGTTACATCTAACCCTTATGGCAGACATAAGGGTTAACTTGTTCAAACAAATTTCTTTCAAGCCACCCTCCCAAAGAGTAAATTGCCTCCTGTGAAGTTCCATGGAAATGAAGCATCAATTGCCCAGTGCTTAATGCAATGACTTTCTCCTTCACATGGCTGAGGGGGAGAATCCTCTGTTAACTTGTCATAGCCTAGAGCTGCAACTGCAAAGTTTGAATTGACTTCAGCCCCCAATCACACCAGGAGAAATGCTGGCAGCCCTCTCCCCCAGCCCCAAAACCTGATTCTAGAAATAGGACCAGAACCAAATTTTCTTCATGTTGATGTTATATACTGGCCCTAATCACATCAGGGGAGGGGTTAGCACTTCCCTAATGACACAGCTAAAAAACAAAACCCTCAGGCCTTAAAAGTTCAGGTGCCTTCTTAAGACGTAATATCCTAGATTTCTGTGTGCCACTGTGCTTATAATGAGCAAAACAAGGGGACTGCAGGCCTGTGACTGATGCTGGGTGTGCAAGTTTCTCCCAATAAATGCTGCTCCACTGTATCTGGTGTGTGTGCCAGCTGGTCATGTGCCCTTGTGTACATAATGTGGAAAATGAAAACTGCTAAAGTCTTCACAGACACTGAGGTTCAGTTTATGCATGAGTTTATTGGATTTTTCCCCAAAGAACTGGTGTTGCCAAGAAAAGGTAAATAGAGCATTTGAGTTCTGAGCTTCTAAAATGGGAAAGGAGGAAAAAGGCAAAACAGAGATGATATACCCATATTCCAAACTTCTTCTGGGTTCAACTTAGGCTTAGGTCAAGGCTGAAATTTAGATAAGCTTCTCTCTGCCCCCCTGTATCAAAGAGAGAGAGAGAGAGAGAGAGAGAGAGCGCCAGGCTTGCAGGGCTGAATAAACCACAAAACTAAAGAATGCCAGAGGGAGAAAGGTTCTATCAAAACCCTGATTTCCATGTCTGACTATTTTGAAATAGTATTTGTTGTTGCTCTTCTGTTGTGATCATTTGAATACAGGTTGATGCTTATTTCCCAGGAAATCCCACAAAGGAGCCAGGCATGGGTAGGAGCAGTGGGGGAAGAGATCACACAGGAAGTTTTGTGGCTTCAAAAGTAGGTGGCTTTAATACAGTGTAGCCATCAGGAAAATGATCCTATTGTTTATGGTTGCAGTGGTAACCTTACCAAGGAAGACAGTCTATTAAGAAAAAAATGAGAGCTCTGATATGTTTGATAGGCAAAAAAGGGTCTTCAAGGGTGCTTTATAGGTATGTTTGATAGGCAAAAAAGTGTGCTTATAGGGGCACCTGGGTGGCTTAGTGGGTTAAGTGTCCAACTCTTGGTTTCAGCCCAGGTCATGATCTCCCAGGAGCCTGCTTAGGATTCTCTCTCCCTCTCTCTCTGCCCCTCCCCAACCCATGCTGTCTCTGTCTCTCTCAAAATAAATAAACTTAAAAAAAAAAAGAGGCGGGGCGCCTGGGTGGCTCACTTGGCTAAGCGTCCGACTTCGGCTCAGGTCACGATCTCACAGCCCGTGAGTTCGAGCCCCGCGTCAGGCTCTGGGCTGATGGCTCAGAGCCTGGAGCCTGCTTCCGATTCTGTGTCTCCCTCTCTCTCTGCCCCTCCCCTGTTCATGCTCTGTCTCTCTCTGTCTCAAAAATAAATAAAGGTTAAAAAAAAAAATTTAAAAAAAAAAAAAAGAGGCTTATAAGGGAGTTTCATTCAGTGTACTCTGAAACGACTGAGAAACACTTTCTTTTTCATACACACATACGTGTGTACATGCACACGAACACACACAACATGGACTATGCCTGTCACATGGCTAAAATTCCACAGGAAAACACATTCTTTTGCATTTTAAAATCAATTTAATTTATATGGAAACCAATTTGACAATAAATTTCATATATTGAAAAAAAAGAAAAAAAAATAAAGTAGATCTTTAAGTCAACAAAAATAAAAAAATAAAAAATAAAATACAAAAAAAATTTTTAAAATAAAATAAATAAATAAATAAAATCAATTTAATTTATAAGGTTAACAAAGGAGTGTAATGTTTAGCATAACAAGCCCTGAACAGTTTACCAAAGTTTATATTTCTGTAGCACTGTATAATTTTAAACTGCTTTTGCATACATTATTCTATGCAATTTTCATGCCATCCTTACTGTGGAGGTATGACTGTTCATAATTTACAGAGAAAGAAACATAGTCTCAAAGGTCAAATTCTTGCCTGAGGAAATGCTCCTCAGGAAGTGGCAGAGCCCAGAACTGTCATGTCTCCAGAGCTTGTGCTCTGACACACACCAGTGGATCCCAAACCCAGGTGGAGCCCAGGAATCTACACCTTTCAAAGTCTCCCCCATATGTTGCTAATAATATCAGAGTCTGGAGCCCTTGTACCACAGCATCCTACAGATAGAGAAGAGACACTAATAATGGCCTATAAATGGTTACTTAGTGTGCTAAAATGCAACTTGTTTAAAGTCACTCTGGTTATTTTCATACCTGGCTTCAAAGCCTCATGTTCTCTCCTTTATATCACTTATCTGATTGTACTGTTTTGTTTGGTAAAACTGTCAATTCTAATTTTTTTTTTATGGATGAATTGCCAATGTCAATGTTTATATCTCAATTTAGCTTCAGCCAGCCACCTATGTATATTGTCTAGACCAATGTTCTCCAAAGTTGGCTGCACCGGACAACTCAATGAGAGATGCAGAAAGGAAATACCTGAATTTCTACTTTTATTTTAAGAAAACTTTTTTCAAAATATTTACCAATATTTACTATATTGATTGACAGTGGGCTGTATATAGTTTAAAAGTGAAGAGTCATATATAGAAAAGTATACTCAACAAGTATATTGTTGAAGTGCCCAATCAAAAATAGGAACTCCTGGTCTAGGTCTCCCCTATGATCAGGAAAATGTGTTCTCTCCTGGGGAGGAATCAGGAGGCATGACTCCTTTTGTATGTAACTTCTGCTGCAATCCTCACAGGATAGAAGGAAATGACTTCGGAGGCCAGAAATATTTCTCACACTGTGAGTGAGTTCATCCTCTTGGGCTTTCCTTGCCGTTGGGAAATGCAGATCCTCCTCTTTTCCATATTCTTTATGACTTACATCATGACGCTCCTTGGAAACATGGCCATTGTGTGTGTGGTGCACTGGGACCGCCGGCTCCACACCCCCATGTATATTCTGCTGGCCAACTTCTCCTTCCTGGAAATCTGCTATGTCAACTCTGATGTGCCCAACATGCTGGCCAACTTCCTCTCCCAGACCAAAACCATCTCCTTTGCTTGGTGCCTCCTCCAGTTGTACTTCTTCTTCTCACTAGGCACAACTGAATGCTTATTTCTGTCCATCATGGCCTATGACCGGTTCCTGGCAATCTGTCACCCCCTGCATTACCCCACCATCATGACTGTGAAGTTCTGTTGCAGCCTGGTCATCTTTTGCTGGGTCTATGGTTTTCTCTGGTTTCTGATCCCAGTGATACTTGTTACCCAGCTACCATTTTGTGGCCCAAACGTGATTGATGACTTCCTGTGTGACCTGGGTCCTCTGCTGGACTTGGCTTCAACCTGTGTCCCAATCCCAGGGACTATTCTCATATGTGGCACCATGAGCTCACTCCTCATCTTTGCCACCTTTTTCTACATTACTGGCTCCTATACCCTGGTGCTGAGGGCTGTAGTGCAGGTGCCCTCAGTTGCTGGCCGGAAGAAGGCCTTTTCTACGTGCTCCTCACATCTGGCTGTTGTGTTTCTATTCTATGGCTCTGTCATGATGACATATGTGAGCCCGGGGTCAGGACAAGCAGAGGGAATGCAGAAGTTCACAACTCTATTCTACTCAGTTCTGACCCCTTTTTTTAACCCCATGATCTACAGCCTCCGGAATAAAGAAATGAAGGATGCCTTGAAGAAAGTTCTAGGAGGTTTCTAAAATTGGTCTGTGATGTTAGTATGTTATTCCTGGATGAGTTCCAACCGTGAGCCTCCTGACAGTGAATAGTTGAGAACTGGCCAACAACCAGTGAACATTTTGAAGAAGTCATTTCAAAATTCTAAATACCAGGTCATCAATGGAAACTTTCCCCAGGTGGAATTAACTGCCTCTTCCATAGCACGTTGTGTGTACTTCTACTGCACATGTCATTCATTTATTTCTTGTGTGATAGTTAGCTGTTCACAAATCTGTCCTACATGCCTCCCCATCCTTAACAGATTGTCAATTTTTTTTAAGTTTATTTATTTTGAGAGAGATAGAGAGTATGAGCATGAGAAAAAGAGGGGCAGAGAGAGAGGGAGAGAGAAAATCCCAACCAGGATCCATGCTGTCAGCCCAGAGCCCAATTTGGGGCTCAGTCCCATGAACCATGAGATCATGACCTGAGCCAAAATCAAGAGTGGGATGCTTAACCAACTGAGCGACCCAGGTGCCCCTAAACTGTCAAATTTTAAGAACAGGGACTATGCTTATTAATTTCTGTAATTCCAGAACTCAATATCATGTCTAGCACAAAAATGTCAATAATGTCAATTTAAATAAAACAAATATATTTGTTCATATTTCCTCACTAGATTCTATCATCCTGGCAAGTCAGGACAATATCTAAAGAAATTATGCAAAGTCCCTAACAATCCAAATTTTCATCCTATGGACAAAATGGAAAAACTTCCAGAAAACGTGAAATCCATCTAAAGTGGTTGGACCAATCATTAAATGATAATCAAATCAATGGAAAATCTCACCAAGATGAAAGTTATTGTCTTAAGCAATTACCTGCTTCCTTCCCTTCATCAAGCTCTTTGTCTAAGTATGCAGCTGCTTTATTTCATTTTCTTTATTACATTTTCCTATTAACCATGCTTTCACTCCTTTGAAAATGTATTATACAACCCTTAGAACTGACAATGTGGATTGGGGACTGTTAGCTGGGCATCACTGGGGAGCTTCTTGGAAGGTAGGATTTCAGGGCCTAGCTCAGCCCTATAAAGTAGAATCTGCATTTTATCCTCATGGGTTATTACATACGTTAAAGTTGGCAAACGAGTGCTTTACAACAGTTTCTCTGTTGCCTCACTGTAATCACAACCACATGCAGTCCTATTGACACCTACCTCCACCCAAGCAGTGGTTCTCAACTGAGTGACTCATGATGGGGGTGCAGGTGGTACAGGTATTCTGAAAAGCCCCCCAGGAAATTGTAATACACAAAAAGCACTGGGAACCACTGCATTCCAATCCAGCGACTTCTAAACTCCACAATAACACATAACGAGACTACATCCACATTCCTTTTCTTTTCAAAAGCCACCCTGGTGCAAATCAACCAAACTGATTATTAGATAGCAATACGACATGTTATAACACAAGTATAATAATCATTGTTTTGCCCCCCAAAAATTTTATATTCAAGTTAGGTAAGTCTCTTTTGAATATTTTTACCTGGGGATATATGTATATTGGGATATATGTATATTAAATGGGATATATGTATATTAAAAAGAATAGCGAATATGAAAAACCATCCTGGCATCGTACTAGCCTTTGGAGTAATGCTGATTAGCAATATTTCTTTCCTGTCCTCAGAAAGACCACAACCCAGCAAAGGAAATAAATTTTTCTAACTTTTTTTGTTTTGGTTTATAATAGTTTGATTGAAATACAGTTTACATACCATAAAAATTCACCCTTTTAAAAAGGGACAATTCAGTGCTCTTAGTTTATTCACATAGCTGTGCAACAATCACCACTAACAAATTTTACAATATTTTCATAACCTCAAAAAGAAATCCCATACCCATTAGCAGTCATTCCCTACTTCCCTCTCCATCAGCCCCTGGAAACCACTAATCTACTTTATGTTCCTATGGATATTGCCTATTCTGGGCATTTCAGAAAAATGGACCATGCACTATGTGGCCTTTTGTAGCTAGCTTCTTTCACTTAGCATAATGTTCATCCATGAATAACTCATCCATATTATAGCTTGCTATGAGTACTTTATTCCTTTTTATTGTCAAATAATATTCCATTGTATGGATATACCAAATTTTGTGTATGCATTCATCAAATGATGAACATTTAAGCTGTTCCTACTTTTTTGCTAATATGAATAATGATGTTATGAACATTCATGTACACATTTTTGTCTGAATATATATTTCTCCTGGACATATACTAGTTTGCATAGGCTGCCATGACAAAATACCACAGGCTGGGTGGTTTAAACAATATAAATTTATTTTATCACAGTTCTAGAGACTGAGAGTCTAAGATCAAGGCACCAGAAGAGTTGGAATCTGATGAAGCCTCTCTCCTAGGCTTGCAGACAACCACCTTCTCACTGTATCTTCACATGGCCTTTCCTCTATACATGAACAGAGGTGAGGGTGGTCCTGCTATCTCTTCCTGTTCTTATATGTGCTGCAGTCATCAAATTAAGGTCCCCCCCATGACTTGATTTAACCTTAATTACCTCCTTAAAGGCCCTGTCTACAAACACAGTTGCATGAATTTTAGAAGTTATATGAATTTTAGAAAGACACAATTCAGTCCATAACAATACCTGCGTAAAATTGCTAGATCATGTAGTAAATTTTTTGAAGAATTGTTAGACTGCTTTCCAAAGTTGTGGTACTATTTATAATGCCACCAGCAATTATTAGTTTCAAATTCTCTATATCCCAGCCACACTTGTTATTCCCTTCTTTCTTTCCTACCTCCCTCTTTTTTCTTTCTTTTTCTTTTTGCCAGCCTAGACATTATAAAGTAACATCTCACTGTGGTTTTGATTTGTATTTTCCTAATCAGTTATATTAAGCATCTATTCATGTAACTATTGGCCACTCATGAATCTTCTTTGAAGAAATGTCAATTCAAATTCTTTGCCCCATTTTTAATTGGCTTAGTTGTCTTATTCATTACTGCTGTTGAGTTTTAAGAGTTTTTTAAATACTCTAAATGTTTATTTATTTATTTTTAGAAGGGGGAGGGGCAGAGAGAGGAGAAAGAGAATCCCAAGCAGGCTTCATGTTCAGCACTGAGCCAAATGCAGGGCTCAATTCCATGACTGAGATCATGGCCTGAACCGAAATCAAGAATTGGACACTCAACTGGCTGAGCAATCCAGGTGCCCCTAAAATATTCTAGATTCAAGTGTCTATCAATAAATGGTTTACAAATATTTTCTTCCATTCTGTGGGTTGCTTTTCACTTTTCTTGACAGTGTCATATATAGCACAGAAGTTTGTTTTATTTTGATGAAGTCCAATTTATTTGTGTGTGTGTGTGTGTGTGTGTGTGTGTGTGTCTTGTTCTTTTGGTGCCATATCTAAGAAGCTATTGTCTAACTCAACATCACAAATAATTATGTCTGTTTTCTTCATAGAGTTTTATAGCTTTACCTTTTATATTTAAGTCTATGGCCTATCTTGAGATAATTTTAGTATATGATGGAAGACAGAGGTTCAACTTCATTCTTTTGCGTGTGGATATCCAGTTGTCCCAGCAACATTTGTTGAAACTATCCTTCCCCCCAGTGAATTATCTTGGCATTATTGTTGAACATTAAACCATAAAAATAAGGTTTATTTCTGGATGCTCAATTCTCATTCTATATGTCTATTCTCATGCTAGTACCACACAGTCTTGATTATCGTATCTTTGTAGTACACTTTCAAATCAGGAATTGGGAGTCCTCCAACTTTGGGTATTCTGGGTCCCTTGCATTTCCATGTGAATTTTTAAGTCAAATTATTAATTTTCTTCTTTAGGTAAACTAAATGATACAACTTATGTATTTCCATTATTTTTCTCATATTTATAATATTTTATAATTTATATAATTTTCTAAAGTGATGCATCCCAAAGTTAAAACTAACAATATTAATGTGTTTGAGCCTAAGAACACATGATGCAAAAACTTAGAGAATTTCAAGGAGAAAGAAAGAAATCCACTATTATAGTTAAACACCCTTTTTTTAGTGATTGATAGATCAAGCAGACAGAAAATTGGCAAAGATACAGTTTACCTGAATAGCACTATCAATAAACTGAACCTGACGTTTATAAAATATTCCATCCAACAGAAAACACATTCTTCTTGAACTTGCATAGAACCAAGATACACCATATTTGGGGCCGTAAAACACCTTAACAAAGTTTAAACAAATATAAATAATACAAAGTATGTTATCATACATTGAAATTAAAGTAGAATCTGTTACTAAAGTAACAGAAAAATAGCTGGAAAATGCCCAAATACGTGGAACTTAATATACTCCTACACATGGGGCAAAAAAGCAATCTCAAGAGATTAAAAAACATTTTAAGCTGAATAAAAATGAAAATACAGCATACCAAAATTTGAGAGATGTAGCAATATCAGTATTTAGAGGGAGGGAGGTTTATAGCATTAAATGCATCTATTAGAAAAAAAGAAATGTAGGGGCGCCTGGGTGGCGCAGTCAGTTAAGCGTCCGACTTCAGCCAGGTCACGATCTCGCGGTCCCTGAGTTCGAGCCCCGCATCAGGCTCTGGGCTGATGGCTCAGAGCCTGGAGCCTGTTTCCGATTCTGTGTCTCCCTCTCTCTCTGCTCCTCCCCCGTTCATGCTCTGTCTCTCTCTGTCCCAAAAATAAATAAACGTTGAAAAAAAAAAAAGAAATGTATTAAATTAATTATATAATTTTCTACCTTAGGAAATCTGGAGAAAGAAAAACAATTTAAGCCTAAAACAAGCAGGAAAAAAAATAATAAAATTCA